TATATATATATATATATATATATATAGGTGAAATATGGAGATAAAATAGACAATGGAAGAAAATGGGACATGGCGATGGCCGAAAGCTGAGGCCATTGAAGAGATTGTAAGATAATGTCCCAAAAACAAAGGACACGAAATATAAGTCTCCACAAAAATCCATGTCCCTTTGCTTCTCCTTCTCCAATCATCTTTTCTCCCACCACTATTCCTGCCTTCAAATTAGGCCATTGGTTTCCATGTCACTCTTTTTTACGTGCATATACACTCATATATCCATATATATTCTTGTAAACATACATATATATATATATATGAACTAAAACGTTTTTAATTTGTATATTTAAAATACTAAATTCTAACATTTTAACGATTCTAAGATTCGGACAATTAGTGATTAAGTGTATTTTAAAGCGCATCATTATGAATAATGTAACATATAAATAGTTTATTTTAATTAGTTTTATAAATACTGATAAGATATATGTCTATCCTCCTACGTCAAAAAATTAAAGCGTGTTTTTTATTAACCGGTTGGATTTGATTAACTATAAGAGCAATTAGTGACAAATGTGTCGCGTTTGACTTTTAAGCAACGGTATAAACTGTCGGATACTATTAATTTAACTGTTAAAACAAAGGTTTTGTCCTTTTCTGACTTCCGAGTGGGCCCCGTCCAAACACTGGGCCCATTTCATCCGCTTGTGCTTCACACTGTCTTTTTTATTTGCTTTTTCTTTTGTTTATTTTCATTTCCATTTTCTACAATTTTAATGAATTCCTTTTCTGCTACTTTTATTTTTATATTATGTTTTAAAAAACTTAATACCCACAAGGGATTATATTGAGGAGGATAATGCCCCCATTTTTTCACCATTTAATGGACACTTATTTTGGAATTCAATAAATAATAACTTAAAAAATATACATTAACTGATTCAAAATGTATATTTTTTAAAAATAATTTAAAGAAAATATTTTCAAACGTTTTGGTTCATATAGTTATGAGCCTTCTAATAATTTTGATTTTAAAACAACATTCTATTTTTTTTTTTTGAAATTTCACTACGTCAAACAAGTATATAATATTGGATATATCTTGAACTAAAGATACAAATATTGTATTATTTTTTTCAAAGATTTTTGTTCTCTATAAAAAAAAAACTCTTATATATATTGCATCATCCGAAAAGATGAGCAATATCAATATCATCTACAATATCCTATGGATTAAGATGTATGAAAGATTTTCCTGCTTTTTTTTTTCTCTAACCGCGTTAGCATAGTATGAAACTAAATTATATAACAACGATTTAAATGTATGGACATGAATTTCTTAGCAAAGACGGTGATATGTCTCTCGTTTTGTTTTTCACGATTCCTTGTCTACTAAAATTATTTTTTATATATATATATATATATATATATATATATATATATTATGTATGGAGAAAAAAGGAATATGCTTTTGTTCGAGGAAAATGACAAAGACTCTTCCCCTAAGACCCTTACTATTGTTCCCCAAATCAAAAGTATATTGCTTTTGCTACATTTAGTAAATCACAACGGGGTCCATCTTGAATTTGTAATTTGGATTGCATATATATATATATATATATATATATATAAAGCACGAAATATTGGTCCTAATGCCGACAGAAAAAGAAATAATATTGATTTTTACGGTATTGTAAAGTCTAATATAAAATTTTCTGATATTGATTTAACAACTCATTTTTAGGGTTTTAAATTACAAAAAAAATGTTTAGATTACATTTAATTTATATATCTGTCGAATATACACATTCAATCGTATTTTCTTTTGTCTTTAATCACATATTTTTAATATAATTTCAGATTAAATATTGAAAGTACTATGAGATCATCTAACATAATTGTGCTTTACTAATGATTCTATTCTTGTATAGACCAACACAATGAAAAACTGATGAGGAAAAAAACATTAAATTATTAATAATTTGTTATCTTGAATCTTTATTATTAGTGACCATAGTTTTTTATTATCGATTTCATATAAAAAAAACTTCCTTTTCGTTTGGTTAATTTGAATAGGAAGTAAATATATTGATATTTTTTAAAAATTTGATTTTATATTCCGACAAATTTATGTGTGAATACTTTGTTTAAATTTATTGGGAGTTAGTATTTGGAAGAGCACATTTTAATTTAACGGTGACAGCGATTTGTAACGTCCACGTTCATGGCCGTAGCCGGAAGTTACTTCCCAATTGATAGTGATGGGACCCAACGTGTCTTGTTGGTGGGCCTAATGGGCCCAATAAGGAAAAATGGCCTAGACGTGAACGTGATTGGTGGAAGACTGAGTCATTGTCCTCTGAAAGAGCGCCACGTGTCTTCGTAGGGATACAACCTCGATTACTTGAAGCATTGTCCTCCTAACGGTTCGGTTTAGTTTATTCGATTAATTCAATTTCAGGTTTTTTGAGTTTTAAAAATTTATAACAAATAGTTATTTGTTTTTAATTGATTCGATTCAATTCAATTATATTCGGTTGGGTTATAATAATAAATGAAACATCTTTAAAGAAACTTGTTAAAGACCACCGTTTCATTGTATACCATATTTATAAATTTATATAAACAATCTCATTATGATAATTTTTTAAATTATATATAGCATACATTGCATATTAATCGATAATATATGAGTAGACAAACGATTACATTCGATTTTATTAAGTTACGGCTAATTCAAATTTAATTATTTTACGTCTTGAAAATATAACAAAACATGTATTTAATTTTAATCGGTTAGAATATAAATCGATTCGGTTCCGTTTTCAAATAACCGAACGACTATATGAACGGTCAGAAACTAAATACCATATTAACGAAGGCTTTATATTTATGTTGAAATTTTCTGAAATAAAAAACCATTACAAAATATATATTATTTTCAACTTTCGAATATATATTATTTTTTTATTTTTTTTATAAACAAGATGGTTTTCGTCTCACCACCAATAGAATCAAATTCAGAACTTTGAAGATGACTTCATCACTCCTCAAACTATCTCGAATTTATATTATTCTTTTGATAAAATACAAATTACTCCCCCAATTTAATATAATCTGCAAATAGTCCCTGTATATATCAATGCAAATGGGAAAAGGGCATGGAACTCGCCATTTTTCTCCGTGTGTGCAGTGCAGGTATCGTCTTTATAAAGCAAATTATATATATATATATATATGTATATATATTGGCGAATAAAACAATACGTTACAAAGACTGTTCGGGAAATGTTTTTATTTAATGTGTGATATAAAAAAAATATTAACCTTGATTAAAAAAGGTAAAATCAGTCAAAAATTACTGCTTGCTTCGGGTTCATTTAATATTTAATATTTTGTCAGTTGGAAAGCGTAGAGCCTTTCCACTGCTACCACTGATGTCCTCTGATACTTACACATATACACCCATTCAGATTCAAACAAACGAGCTTTTATTTATACACACACACACAATATACATATATATATATATATACATATAAGATGGATGTTCTTTTGGTTTTTCAATATATCAACTCATTTCTCAAAAAAAAAAATTACCATCTTATATTTTGACATCGAGAGTTTAACAAATTATGGGGTTGCATTAACCATTATTATAATTATTATTATTATTATTATTATTATTATTATTTAATGTTTGGGAAGTGAAAACCCCAAGAAGAATGTGGAGTGCATAAGAGAACAAAAACAAGGGGTTAAATGCGCATGCAAGCATGCAGATAGAAACACACATTAGTTTATTAAGTAAAATCAATTAAAAAAGGCTCAATCTCCGATTAGTTTTTAAGCCACACCTAATTATGTGTTTATAATCTCCAAACCCAAACATATAGGGAATGGGCAGCATGTACTCAGATCTTGGGATTGCAATTTATTTTATTTTATTTTACACACACACACATATATATATATATATATATATATATATATATATATATATATTCTTATAAGATCATGGGGCTACTGGCGATATACAAGCCAACCATTTAGTATAATAAATAATTAATAAAAAAGGGTCATATATAATATGTGTATATATATAGAGGTTAATGGAATAGATTATAAGTTAATTAAGATTATAGTGTGTGGACCTATTTTATTGAAGATTCTTTTTGGAAATAATGGAATCCAAAGGGATATTCCAACCCTAAAAGATGGTTTTGGGACGGTTCAGCTCAATATATTATGAACTACTATGAGTTATATAACCAATTTGTTTTTGTTAAATAATGTAAAAAATATATATTACCAATTAAATATTTTAGAGTTTTTTTTATAGGTCTTAAAAGTTTTTCCGGTCTTTATCAAATTAGAGTTTAATATTAATTATACGTCACGTATATGCTACTAGTGTATTTAATTCTTTATATTTGTTTTTTTTTGCACACATATTCATTGTTATTTTGACATGTCAAAATTTGTATAACAAAACCCATTTAAATAAATTAACTAAACTATATATACACAAGACCCAATGTTAGTACAATTTCATTAAACAAAATGTAGATGCTAATTCAAATGAGCTTATAATCAAAATAAATGTAATATTGCATTATAGGTTTAGTTTAGATTTTTTTTAATTTCAGAAAAAACTATATATATATATTTTTATGTTAGATTCCACCTTTTTATTTTTTTATTTAGATTTGATTTTTATTGATAATAATGTTCTATTTTCTAATGAAAATTTCGGTTTAGTCGGTTTTTCAGTTACATTTATATTCAATTCGAATTTTGATTTTTTATTTTATTTTATAGAGTTATACCTATTTAATTTCTATATCAAATTCGGCTCGAATACAAATATATATTATTCGGTTTTGTATAACCGGGCCAAAATGCATCCTATGGGTAAGAATAAGATGACAACTTAGGATACACAAGAATATGGCAAAAGTATATTTTTAATATTTTTTAAAAAATAAGGATAAAAAAGGATAAAATGTTTCCTATGCAAAGAACAAGAACAAGGTTGTCTACATGGGGAGGGTGAATAAGGCTACATTGGTAATAAGAGCCATGACTCCCTTGTGTTTCTTATTTCAATCATCAAAGGCACATTGCTCCATAACCCAGACATCATCATCTTATATATATATATATATATATATATAT